GGATAAGGTTTAGGGTTTTTATGCTGGGGGCATAACCAACCTGAAGTTTAGGGTTTAGGGTTTAGGGTTTAGGGTTTGTGCTATGCAGGCCTCCCCGAAGTTCCAGCCGGACGGCAGCTGAAGCTAGAACTCCCCGGGAAGAATAAACAATCCAACAAAAAGGGTTAGGGTTTAGGGTTTAGGGTTTGGAGTTTAGGGTTTGGGGTTTAGGCGTTGATGCAAAGGTCCCTAAATTGTTGGAAAGTTTGCTGTTTTTCTCTAGTTTGTTCTATTAATGCTGCTGCTGTTGCTGCTGTTGCTAATGCTGTTGCTCCTGCTGTTGCTGCTGTTGCTGCTGCAGGAGCTGCAGGTAAGTCAGGGGGGGCGAAGAAGGGCGGTGGAAAGGAAAAAGGGGGCAGCAAACTGGAGAAGCAAGAGAGCAGCAGCAGCAGCAGCAGCAGCAAAGATCCTTTTGGCGAGGATCTGCGGCTGCTGCTGCTGCCGCTGCAGGCGGTTGCTGCTCAGGACTCACTGGGAGGTGAAGTAGCAGCAGCAGCAGCAGCAGCAACAGCAGCAGCTGCAGCATCAGCAGCAGAAGCAACGGAGGGAGAGAAGCCAAAGACACAAGAGGATCTACTGATTACCGCAGCAAAAGCATCAGCAGCAGCAGCAGCAGCAACCGAAGGGGACCCAGTAGCTGCTGCTACTGCAGCAGCAGCAGCAGCAGCAGCAGCAGAAAATGCAGCAACAGTCATAGCAACAGCAGCAGCAAAGTCATCTAACAGCAGCAGCTGCGTCAGCAGCAACAGAGCAGCCGTTGCTGCAGCATTACGTGCAAAGCTTCTCCCTCCTGTTGCTGCAGCAGCAACAGCAGCAGCAGACACCGTGCTGCAGCAGCAACTGCAGCAGCTACGTCTTGAGCTCGATGGTATAAAGACAAAAACAACAAAAAAAGGAGACAAAAAAAAAGGAAAACAAAAACAACAAAAATGTTGCAAATGTACACAAAGTATATTAGGAAACCCTGATAACTTTATTAATGATCTTACACAAGTAAGTGGTCTAGTGGTTTAGGGTTTAGGGTTTAGGGTTTAGGGTTTAGGGTTTAGGGTTTAGGGTTTAGGGTTTAGGGTTTAGTGTTGGGGGAGAGAAGAATCACTAAAGAACGATTAAGATGGGGAACGTTTAGAGGAACGTCTTAGGGTCTAGGAATTAGGGTTTAGGGTTTAGGGTTTAGGAATTAGGGTTTAGGGTTTAGGGTTTAGGGTTTAGGGTTTTCGCAGGGTGGCATTATAAGGAAGGTGCAACCCTTTGATATATCTTCTTTCTTTGAGGGAGGAGTTGCTGCTGCTGCTGCAGCAGAGAGCGGCACCAGCAGAATCCCTTCTGCTGCAGCAGCAGCAACAATTGCTGCTGCTGCACTACAAGAAGATGATCCTTCTTCTTCTTCTTCTGCTGCTGCTGCTGCTACGCCCCAAGCCCCCCCAGATGCAGCAGCAGCACAAAAGGGTGCAGCAGCAGCAGCAACCAATACCACCACCGCCACCAACAGCAATAACAGCAGCAGCAGCAACAGCATGCCCTCTCTTGCTGCTGCAGTAGAGTGTCTACGCAGCGAATTGCTGCTTCCTCTTTGTCTTCCTTCCCTAAGAACTAATAAGACATATAGGACTCTTCTTCTATATGGACCACCAGGTCAAACCCTAAACCCTAAACCCTAAACCCTAATCCATAAGCCCTAAACCCTATTATACAATATAAATCCATATAAGATATGAATAAACCCTTTATATAAACCCTAATAATAAACCCTAATAATAAACCCTAATAATAAACCCTAATAATACACACTAAGCCCTAAACCCTAATAATGAATATGTTGAGGGTTTATGCAGGTTGTGGTAAGAGTTCGTTAGTTCGTTGGTTATCTGCTGCTGCTGCTGCTGCTTTCTTTGATTTATCCCCTAATAAGATAGTTGGGGTGTCTGTACACCCTAAGCTTGGTGTTGCTGCTGCAGTACATAAAGCATTTGCTGCAGCAAAACAAATACAGCAGCAACAGCAGCAACAGCAGCAACAGCAACAGCAGCAACAGCAACAGCAGCAGCAGCAGCAAGCAATTATAATGTATATAGAGGATGCAGACCTTTTATTTACAAAAAACGCAAAGGCACAAAAAAATAAAAATAAATTTGCTGCTGCTGCTGCACAACTTGCACCTGCTATACAAGGACATCTTAATACGGTCAGTTATTGCTGCTGCTGCTGCTGCTGCTGCTGTTGCTGTTGCTGTTGTTGTTGTTGGTGTTATTGTTGTTGGTGTTGTTGTTGTTGTTGCTGCTGCTGCTGCTGTCCTTGATGGTGGTGATGGCGCTACTGCAGCACTTGACGGAGAGAAGCATGCTGCTCCCTCAGCAGCAGCAGTTGCAGCAGCAGCAGCAACAGCAGCAGCAGCAGGAATTTCTGTCTGTTGTCTTCAGTTGGATCGCAAAGAGAATAATATCCTCGTCATTGGCTGCAGCAGCAGACCCAATGCACGTAAACTACCTGCTGCTGCTGCTGCTGCTGCTGCTGCTGCTGCTGCTGCTGCTAATAGTACTACTAGTACCTGTACTATTACTACTTCTTCTGCTGCTGTTGCTGCTGCTGCTAATGTTCCTGCTTCTGCTCTTGGTTTTCTTATAATCTGTGTTGCTGCTCCTGCTCCTGCTGCTGCTGCTATCCATGCTGTTGCTGCTGCTTCTGTGTCTGTTGCTGCTGCTGTTGCTGCTGCAGCTGAGGTGGACTCCCGTTCTTTATTCAATTTCTTTGAGTTACTAATTCCTTTGCTGCCTCCAAATAGACAGCAGAGGCAGCAGCAGCTGCTGCAGCAGCTGCAGCAGCACGGCCTCCATGTCCCTCTTAATTCCTTCAGTCATCTCTTACCCTTCCTTGAGGCAAGCCCTAAACCCTAAACCCTAAACCCTAAACCCTTGCAACTTGCGCTGTACTACCCATTCATTTGCTGCTTAAAAGGGGGGGAATAATAATATTAGGCGTGCTGCCTTCAACTGCTGCTGCTGCTGCTGTGCTGCTGCTGTTGTTGCTGCTGCTGCTGCCGCTGCAGGCAACTGAAGGACTTGCTGGGGGTTCTGTCTCTGCCTGCATGCAATCTGCCTGTACAATAAAAGAAAAGTCTTTGCGTAGTCTCTCGGCCCCACAGTCTGCTGTTGGTACACAGCAGCAGCAGCAGCAGCATCAACACCAACAGCAGCAACAGCAACAGGAGACAGAGATGCAGCAGCAAGGGAAGAGAGGTGCTGCTGCAGCGCACACCCTCCGTCGCGACAGCCAGATCAGCAGCAAGCAGCTGGATATTGATTTGTCTAAAGACAGCAGCAGCAGCAGCAACAGCCACAGCCACAGCAGCAGCAACAGCAGCAGCAGCAGTAATATTAGCAGAATAACTAGCAAGACACTGCTACTGCAGCTGCTGCAGCAGGTTAAGCAGCAGCAGCAACTCTATCCATACACTTGGAGGCAGCAGCAGCAGCAGCTGGAGGACTTCGCCATCCGTGCAATCAGCAGCAAAATTAAACCAGCCAAATAAACTAGCAGCAGCAGCAGCAGCAGCAGGTGTACCACCAGCAGCAGCAGGTCTAGCAACAGCAGCAGCGGAATGAGGAGCGGGAACGCCAGCAGCAGCAGCAGGACAACCATCATCATCATCAGCAGCAGCAGCAGCAGCAAGATTAGGAGCGACTGTAGCAACATGAGCGTAACAGCAGCAGCAACCGTAACAGCAACAGCAGCTGCTGCTGCTGCTGTTGCATGCATACACAACAAAGAAGATATTTTTATTACTTAAAATAAGAATTAAATAAACCCTCATCAACTCCTTGCTGCAGATGCACTTGCTGCAGCAGCAAACCACCAGCAGGTGCCAGCAGCACTTTGCTGCTGTCTTCCTCTTCCTGCTGCTGCTGCAGTAGCTCCTGCTGTTGCAGTAGCTCCTGCTGCTGCAGTAGCTCCTGCTGCTGCAGACCCCATTGCTCAAGTATCGTTTGAGCATTCACACTGCTGCAGCGACGGCAGCTGCTTGCAGCAGCAGCAGCTGCTGCTGCTGCTGCTTCTGCTGCTGCTTCTGCTGCTGCTGCAGTGTCTGGTGGTCCTATGCGGCGAGCAAATGCTTGTATAGGTAGAAACCCCACAGCAACCTGCAGCAGCAAAACGCATGCAGCCCCAAACCACATTCAGTGTCTAGGGTTTAGGGTTTAGACTATTAGGGTTTAGGGTTTAGGGTTTAGGGTTTAGGGTTTACGTGGACAAGAGAGCCAACAAGAAGCCGAATCATCTTATGGAGAAATCTATCCCCTACAAATTGTAGTTGTACCCTATAAATAAATAAATAAATAAATAAATTAAATAAATATAAATAAATAAATACAAATAAATAAATAAATATAAACAAATAAATAAATAAAAGTACAAACAAAAAACGGCGACAAGCTGCTGTTGCTGCAGAACACCGGAATCTCTAACAGCAGCAGCAGCAGCAGCAGCAGCAGCAGCAGCAGCAGCAGCAGCAGCAGCAGCGGTCGTCCTTGCTTGGTTGGCGTCTGCTGTTGCTAGTCGTGCTGCTCCTGCTGCTACTGGTGCTGCTGCTGTTGCTGTTGTTGCTGCTGCTGTTGCTGCTGCTGCATGCGCTTACCCGTGAGGTTGGGAGTCCAACTGCTCTCCTGCAAAAACAAAATAAACACACACATTGCTGCTGCTGCTGCTGCTGCTGCTGCTGCTGTTTCTGCTTCTGCGTGTCGTGCATGTGCTGCTACATGTGCTACTACTGCTGCTGCATGCGCTGCTGCTGCTGCTGCTGCTGCTTACCGCACGGTATAGGCCAAGGATTAAATGTTATTTGCTGCAGCTGTACTGAGGAGATGCAGCAAATAGGAGAAGGAGGAGGGCAGTCCCCTCTGTGCTTAGCACGGAAATGCTGCAGCAGCAGCAACAGCAGCAACAGCAGCAACAGCAGCAGCAACAGCAACATGAGCAGCAACAGATGCCGATGGTAATGGGTTAGACGTGCAGCAGCAACAACAACAGCAGCAGATGCCAATCTAATGACTGCAGCAGTAGCAGCAGCAGCAGCAGCAGCATTTGAAGCAGCAGCAGGAAGAGGAGCAACAGCAGCAGCAACTGCAGCAGATGCTGCTGTTGCTGCTGCTGCTTACAGAGAAATTATGTCTTCCTTGACAAAGAGCAGCAGCAGCACGAAGACATCCGCAGCAAAACTGCTGCAGCACCACGTGTTGCTGCTGCTGCAGCAGCGCATCTGCTGCTGCTTCCTCCTCCTGCTGCTGCACCTTATGGTGCTGCAGCAACTCATTGATTCCTGCTGCATATTCAGCAGGAACAGCAGCCGCTGCTGCTGCTTCTGCAGCAGCAGCAGCAGCAGCAGCACGGGCTGCGCTAACAATTACGCGACCATCATGCAGCAAAGACCAGCAGCTGCTGCGCAGTAGCGGATGCATGTGCTGCTGCAGCGCCAAGGTGTACAGGTATGTCTTGCCTACTACTAGACCAGGCAGCAGCAGCTGCGGCTGCTGCAACCTTTGCTGCTGCTGCTGCTGCTGTTGCTGTTGCTGCTGCTGCTGCGGTAAATTCAAATGCTGCAGCTGCTGCATGTCTGCTACCTGCAGCACACGAACATCTGCTGGCAGCAACATGTTTAGTTGCTGCTGCAGTTGCTGCAGTGTCTCCCTAGTTAACAGCTCCTGCTGCTGTTGCTGCTGCTGTTGTGGCTGCTTCTCCTGTGGCTGCTGCTCCTGCTGCACGTCGACCTGCTGCTGATCTTGTTGCTGATACTCTTGCTGCAGCTGCTCTTGCTGCTGCTGAGGAGCAGCATCTTGCTGCTGCTGCTGCTCCTGTTGCGGCAACTTGAAGTCCGCGTAGGGTGGCGCCACTAATTCACACAGCTGCAGCAGCAAACAGCAGCAACAGCAGCAACAGCAACAGCAGCAGCAGTACAAAGTGTGTAGCGGTTATGCTGCAGCAGCAAATATCTGAATACTCAGCAGCAGGAACAGCAGCAGCAGCATTAACAACAACCAGATCAGCAGCAACAGCAGCAGCAACAGCAACAACGACAACCACACCAGCAGCAGCAGCAGCAGCAGCAGCAGCAACAGCAGCAGCACAGCAGCAACCTTACTGCTCCTGCAGCATGTACTCCGCTGTCTGTACGACTTGCGCCTCGAACTTTTATTGCTGCAGCAAATGCAGCAAATCGCGCTATTCGTTGCTGCCTCCTTGCTTCCTTCTGCTGCTGCTGCTGCTGCTCCTGCTCCTGCTGCTGTTGCTGGTCCTCCTCCTGCTGCTGGTCCTCCTCCGGCTGCTGGTCCCGCTGGTCCTGCTCCCGCTGCGGCTTCCGCTGCCTCCACCACCGCTGCTGCTGCTGCTGCTGCTGCTGTGTCCTTGGTCGTCTGTGCATCTGATTGGTTGCGAGAGCAGCAAATGCTTTTGCTGCTGCATCCCTCACCACCGCCTCTACTGTACGTATTCCTCTGCTCCCCTTGCTGCTGCTGCTGCTGCTGTTGCTGCTGTTGCTGTTGCTGCTGCTGCTGCCGTTGCGGGAGGGCAGTGGTGTCGTGTCTTTCCATCCACAAAAGGAACTTCCATCGTAAGACAGCAGCAGCAGCAAATGTAGCGGCCGTCGCCAGTGCTCCTGCTGCTGCTGCTGCTGCTGCTGTTTCTGCTGCTGCGGCTTCAGCAGCAGCTGCTTCTGCTCCAGGTGCAGTTGCTGCTGATGCTCTTGATGCTGTTGCTGTTTCTGCACTTGATGCATGCGTTGCTGCTCCTGCTGCTGCAGCTGAGGGACCACGACACCGCTACTTCCGAGACTGCTGCTGCTGCTGCTGCTGTTGCTGGTGGTGTATATACTGCTGCTGTATGTGCCACTCCTTCTGCTGCTAGGCAGCAAGAACGCAGGAACGGAGAGAGAAGCAGCAGCAGCAGCAGCAGGACGCTGGCTCAAGCGGCCAGCATCGCAGGCAGTTAACAGCAGCAGCAACAACACAACGAGCAGCAGCAGCAGCTGCTGCTGCTGTTGGCGGTGTTGCAGTCTCCTTTTTGCTGGCATGTTATTTGTTAGATCCTTCAATGTGTGTTGCTGCAGCAGCTGCAGCAGCAGCAGCAGCAGCAGCTGCTGCTGCTGCTGCTGCTGGTTGTCTTTAGCATTCCTCTATATATTGCTACGACAGAAAGCAGTATAAGCAAGCAGCTGCTGCTGTTGTTGTTGCTGCTGCTGATTGCTGTTGTTGCTGTTGCTGCTGCTGCAGCCTAAAATGACGCATTCGTCGATTAGCATCGATGGCTGCTGCAGCAATGGCAGCTGCCGCCGCAACCGCCGCCGCTGGTGCTGTTGCTGCTGCTACTGCTGTTGTTGTTGCTGCTGCTGCTAGTGCTGCTGTTATTGTATTGTCTTTGTGTAAACAAACACATTTTCTATTTCTTTAATTTAATTCAATTAACCTTCCTTTCTTTATTTCTTGCTGCTGCTGCTGCTTCCTGCTGCAGCTTTTTTCTTGTGCTGCTGCCGCCTGCGTGACCGACCGCGACGCAGCTGCTGCTCCTGCTGCTGCTGCTGCTCCTCTTACTGCAGCAAAAGTGTCTGTGTGCTGCTTCTTCCTTTTATTTTCTTGTATATTATACAATGCTACTTAGGAAGGTGTATAACATCATCGCGTGGAGGAGGAGCTCGCTGCTGCTTCTGCAGCCTTCTCAGCTGCCAGCAGCAAGGGCAGCAGCAGCAGCAACAGCAGCAGCAGCAGCAGCAGTAGCAGCTATACATACAACCACAGCAGCATCATTCATGGGTGTTACAGCATCACATTGTGCTGCAGCAACAACGAAGACAGCAGCAGCAGCAGCAGCAATGACTGCAACACACTTCTGCCACCACAACAGCAACCTCCTCATCCAGCAGCAGCAGCAGCAGCAACTGCAGCAGCAGCAGCAGCAGCAACTGCAGCAGCAGCAGCGCTTCTACTGGGCAAAGACAGAAAAAGCTGCTGCCTATGATTCGCAGCAAATCGCAACTTGGAGAGAAAATTTTCCTTCCCTTAAAGAATTCAGTGACGAAGGTTAATTGCTGCTGCTGCTGCTGCTGCTGCTGCTGCTGTTGCTGCTGTTGCTTCTATTGCTGCTGCTTCTGCTTCTTTTGCTGCTGTTGTTAATGCTGTTGCTGTTATTGATGTTGTTTCTGCTGCTGTTGTGCTGCTGCTGCTGTTCCTGTTGCTGTGAATGTGCAATAGTAGTACAAGTGTATAATTAAATAAAATAAATAAATAAATAAAATAAATAAATAAATAAATAAATAAAATAAATAAATATTTATTTCTTCTTTTCTTTTTTTCTGTAGATTTATTAGAATGGCGTCGTGTATTTGATTCATTTGATACGGATGGAGATGGAAGACTCAGCAGAGCTGATCTACAAAAAAGAGCTGAATTCTCTCTTGATAAAGTACAAAAAATCGAACGTAAACCCTAAACCCTAAACCCTAAACCCTAAACCCTAAACCCTAAACCCTAAACCCTAAACCCTAGGAAATACTAATTGAGAATATAGACTCTAGTTAGGGGGTAGGAAACATGAATAGAGATGATCTATAAAAAAAGAACCCAATTCTCTCTTGATAAAGTACAAACAATCCAACATAAACCATAAACCCTAAACCCTAGGAAACCCTAATCCACCCTAAACCCTAGTAGAGGGCAATGGGGAGCGCAGCATAAACCCCAATATCCTAAACCCTAAACTCAGAAACCCTGAAATATAAACCCTAATAACACGACTTGCTGCAGCAGTGTAGCGGTTTAGGGTTTGTGTAGGGTTTACGCTTTCAGGGTTTAGGGTTTAGGGTTTAGGGTTTGGTCTGCAGAGTATGATAAGGATAAGAACAACTTGATTGACTTTGGAGAGTTTGTGGAGGCGCTCTATGAGGCAAGCAGCTAAACCCTAAACCCTAAACCCTAGTAAACCCTTGTAAACCTAAACCCTGACTTCTTCCCATCTGCTGCAGCGAAACCCTAAACCCTCTTCTCCGTCGACAGCGACGGAGGGAGTAGGTTTCCGTAAGGGTTTAGGGTTTGCTGGGGTTTAGGGTTTAGGGTTTAGGGTTTAGGGTTTGGTAGTGCAGCTCGACAAGGAAATTCTAAAGGAAGGGTTTGAGGGTTTCAGTGGAGTCGACGTTCAACTTGAATTCGAAAAGTTCGCGAGTAAGGGTTTAGGGTTTAGGGTTTAGGGTTTAGAGTTTATAATTATAATTCTTTTTATACTTTAATTTTAATGTTTTGTTAAATTAAGTGTATAATTAATTAAATAAATATATTGCATGCATTATATTGTGCTGTTTATGTGCGTATTCTGTATATATATATAACAGCAACAGATGCACAAGGAAAGAAGACATTAAGTATAGAGGGAATAATAAAATTATTAAAAACAAATAGATTTACATGTATTACTAAACAAGACGGAAAAAAAATGCTCAAAGAAATTGATCTAAATCGTGATGGAATTGTTGATCTTAAAGATTTCCAACAAGTATTCAGAAACCCTAAAAAAACCCTAAACCCTAAACCCTAAACCCTAAACCCTAAAAAATTCGAAACACTCAAAATATTACGAAACAAGAAGGAAAGAAAGTGTTTACATAGTTGTTAATCGTAATTAATTTCCAACAAGTATTCATAAACCCTAAACCCTAACACTCGACAAATTGTAAACCCTAAACCCTAATAAATACACTGCGGACTCTTGGCACGAAACCCCAAACACTAATACACAATATACTTAAACCCTTTTCTTTAGACCGCAACAGACCACAAGCACAAACCCTAAACGCTATAGGTACTGTTAAACCCTAAACCCTAATCAGCTTAGTCGAGGAGCTCGACTCCAAACCCTAAACCCTAGCTGTCTCTCGTTGGCAGCAGAGGAGAGGCATGCATTCGAAGAGGAGGGTTTGGGGTTTAGTGTTTTGTTTGTTTCGTGCAGTGGGTGGCAGCCCGATGAGATCCTTGAAGAAACCTTAAACCCTAAACCCTAAACCCTAATTCTGAATCAGAAGTGTGGGGCCTCGTATAGGCGCAAAGTGTTCGCCATCTTGGCTTTTTTTCTAGGGTTTACGCGATTGCTAGGGTTTGCATAAACAAACCCTCATCAGCCTTCGCGGCATCATCAAGGGTATTGCCAGCAAAGCCTAAACCCTCGGGGGTTTAGGGTTTGCATGCGGGCGAGGGTTTAGCAGCAAACCCTCAAGTCTGCCTGCTCAGTTGCCTTCTTTTTCTTCCTTAATCAATAAACCGCCCTAGGGTTTACTACTCAGGTGTATAGGCAGCTCAAACCCTCATAATATACATTTAGGGTTTACGTGTTGTTAATAAGACTATAAACACTAAACTGTATCATATATAGACTTCTTCCGTCCTCCAAACGCTAGGGTTTAGGGTTTAGGGTTTAGGGTTTGTGACCCTATGAAATGACTGAGGGGTGATGGCTTATTTGCAGCAAAACCCCTCTTGTTCTTACTACTACTACTACTACTGTTGCTGCTGCTACTGTTGCTGCTGCTGCTGCTCCTGCCTCGTACTGCTTTGGTTCTCGAGGATCTAGGGTTTGCTGCTGTTGCTGCAGCAGCAGCAGCAGCAAGAGAGGGGAAGTGTATCTGCTGCCGCTGCTCTGGTGTTGCTTCCCTAAAGTCTGGGCAATAAGACACAATTCCTGCAAAAGATTTCCCTGTTGCTGCTGCTGCTGTTGCTGCTGCTGCTGCTGCTGTTGCTGCTGCTTCTGCTGCTGCTGCTGACGTAGGCCCTCCTAGGGAGGGGAAGGCAGCAGGGTCGTCTGGCACCTGCTGACGCGCTGCTGCTGCCCCTGGTAATGCAGCAGCAGCAGCAGCAGATGCTGCTGCTGCCTTTCGTGCTGCTGCTGCTTCCTGCTGCAGCTGACGATGACGCTGCTGTCTTCGCTGCTGCTCCCTCTGCCGCAAGTCAGCCTGCGCACAGCAGCAGCAGCAGCAACAACACTCTTCAATAAGCCACAAACCCTCGATCCACCACAGCTTAACACGAGGCAAAGACCGAGGGTTTAGGGTTTATGGTTTAGGGTTTGACGAACTTCAAAATGCTGCAGCGTAGCCCGCGACACCAAACCGTCTGCAAAAACAAACAAACTCAAACCCTAAACCCTAAACCCTACTGAAGCCCAACTGCAACAGCCACGAGCAGTAAGAAGCCCACTCGCCACTCCAACCCTAAACCCTAAACCCTTTCGACTGACCTAGAGCGGCTTCAGCAAGGCTGACGGTGGTGTTCTGCGGTAGATGCTCTAAGACCTTTAACGGCCGCTGCTGTCGCTGCTGCTGCTGCTGCTGCTGCTGCTGCGGCCTCCGCCACTGCTGCTGCGGCTGCTGCGCCGAGTGCAGCGAAAGGATTGGCACATCATATAAAACGGGGGGAAGCAAAGAAGGGTCTCCCCCTGCGTCGTGTAGGAGCAGCCTGAAAGCAAACCCTAAACCCTAAACCCTAAACCCTAAGCCCTTTGTACCCATAAACTGCCGTAATGTAGCACCTCTCTACCCCATTTAAACCACAAACCCTAAACCCTAAACTCTATTCTTACTGATAACAAAAAGGATGGAGGAATATTGGTTGGCCATCTGCTGCCTGGTAAAAGCTAAATCCATTGCTGCTGCTGCTGCTGCTGCTGCTGCTGTCCGCTACTCCCGGTGCTGCAGCAGACTGCTGCTGCTGCTGCTGCTGCTGCTGCCGTTTTGGCTGCGAGCTGCGCTCCTTAAGTTGCTGCTCATGCAACAGCTTCAGCAGTCTCGTGAATACCTGCGACAAGCAAGCCCCAAACCCTAAACCCTAAACCCTAAACCCTCACCATGCCGAACCTAGACCCCAAACCCTCATTACGATCCTAAACCCCAAACCACAAACAGCTCACCTGCATGCGCTCATGCAGCGGTTTAAGATGCTGCACGGGTTTGCTGCTGTTGCTGCTGCTGCTGTTGCTGCTGCTGCTGTTGCTGCTGCTGCTGTTGCTGCTGCTGCTGTTGCTGCTGCTGCTGCCTCTGGCTTCTGCAGCACGATTGGCTAGTGCCTCTGCGAACTGCAGGGCCTGTACCAGCACAACAAAACCCTCATAAGCCAAGCCCTAAACCCTAAACCCAACATGTACTCCGTTGGTCAGTCTCTACCCTCCATGCTGTGGAAAGATGGACTAGGGTTTAGGGTTTAGGGTTTAGGGTTTACTTCCTGAAGCTCCCTTGCTGCCTCTGTGTCGCCTTCAGGCATTTCGAGGCAACTCAACATTCTTCCCTCTGAACACAAACCCTAAACCCTAAACCCTAAACTCTAAACCCTACAGCCGAAGGCGTCTGCATACTCTGACAATTGCCTATAGGCAAGACATATTAGGGTTTGCGCAATGCTGAATGGGGTCGAATTAGGGTTTAGGGTTTTTGAATTAGGGTCTGCAGATTAAATTAGGGTTTAGGGTTTAAATTAGGGTTTATAAATACCTAGGGTTTGCAAGTGGTCCATCCACATCTGCTGCGGCTCCTCAACAAAGGCTATTGAATTAAAAAAGGCATCTGCAACCAAACCCTAAACCCTAAACCCTAAACCCTAAACCCTGATTTGCTGTGCATGGAAACATACAACTTGGTCATAGATATTATAAAGCGCTGAGAAGCTCTAGGGTATACGGATTAGGGTTTAGGGTTTAGGGTTTAGGTAGCCTACGGAAAGAGGATTCTGGGGGAGGCAGCAGGTTTTGCTGCGGTTGTTGCAGTGCAGCAGCAGCAGCAGCAGAAGCTACATCAGCAGCATCTGCAACAGCGGCAACAAGTTCCTCCGCTTGCTGCTGTGCTGCAGGCGTCTCAGCAGCAGCAGCAGCAGCAGCTGCTGCTGCTGCAGCAGCAGCAGCAATAAATGTAGCACTTAGATAAACAAAGGTACTGCCAACAGGACGGGTAATAAGACAAAAAGATGCTCTGCTTCCCTCTACTACGGGGGCAAACTGCACAAACACCCAAACCCTAAACCCTAAACCCTAAACCCTAATTTTTAGATGCTTAGGTATGAATGAAGCGAATGAGGAGGGAGGCAAGAGGAACAAAGAGTGTGGTGCATTCTAGCAGGAAGATGCTTCCGCTGTTCTAGGGTTTAGGGTTTAGGGTTTAGGTAGGGTTAGGGTTTAGGGTTTAGGGTTTAGAGTTTACCTGATGAATAAGGAAGGGTCTTAAATCCTCAGAAGAAACAAGTTGATGGCAAAGAGGACAACGCGAAGGACCGAAGGCATTCAGTAGCCGGCAGGCGCACGGTCCACATATCGCTGCAAAAAAAAGAAGTCTAAACCCTAAACCCTAAACCCTAAACCCTAAACCCTAATGCCTAAACCCTAGGTGTTTAAGCAGCAATAGGGTTTAAAATTATGGACCTCAGTAGTAAGATTAGGGTTTACGACTGAGCTGAAGTTTAGGGTTTACGACGGATGGTTACATGCTTCTGTGGTGAGGGTTTAGGAGGGTTTAGGGTATAATTAGGGTTTAGGGTTTACGGTGTCCGCATCTAGGGGTTAATAGAGCAGCAGCAGCAGCAGCTTCCTCAAGACAAATTGGACAAAGAAGTTCTTCAGAAGCAGATTGAAAACGAATGCAGCAGCACACACCTCCCCAGTCTGCAGCAGCAGCAGCAGCAGCAGCATATAAGCAACACAGCAACATCAACTGCAGCACATGCAATGCCAACAGCTGCAAGCAGCAGCAGCTGCTGCTGCTGCACTAATAGCAGCAGCAACAGCAAACCATATCGCCTATTTAGGAAAATTAGGGTTTAGGGTTTAGGGTTTAGGGTTTACCAAGTGCATCTGAGCGGTTCTTCTTATGGTGCTGCAGTTGCGGCAGTGGGTGTTCCTCTTGCTGCTGCTGCTGCTGTTGCTGCTGTTGCTGCTGCTGCTGCAGGCCTACAAGTACACGGCACTTGGCGAGCAAGAATCCGTGAGGTTCATTTTCTGCTGCTGCTGCTGCTGCTGCTGCAGACCGTTGCTGCGGCGGCAAGGGCCGCAGCGGCTGCTGCTGCTGCGGCTTAGGACGATAGCGACTAAAAGAAAGAATTGCTGCAGCAGGAAGAGACACAGCTTGTCCCCTCCTCCCTCTTCCATGCCTCTCTTGCTGCTGCTGCTGCTGCTGTTGCTGCTGCTGCTGTTGTTGCTGCTGCTGTGATGATGGTGGTGCCCGTCGTGGTCGTTGTTGTTCTTCGTGCTCCAGCTGTTGTTGCTGCTGTTGCTGTTGTTGCTGCTGCTGTTGCTGTTGTTGCTGCTGCTGTTGCTGCTGCTGTTGCTGTTGCTGTTGCTGTTGCTGTTGCTGTTGCTGCTGCAATATGCCGTCCTCCCTTTTATCGGGACGATGCCCGTCCTGCTGTTCATGTTGCTGCTGCTGTTGTTGCTGCTGCTCCTGTTCGTCGTGCTCCTGCTGCTGCTGTTGCTGTTGCTGCTGCAAGGCAGGGGTTGTCTCATTGTATGAAGACATGGCGTGACAATAGGAATACTTCTGCTAAATTTGCTGCTGCTGCTGCTGCTTCTGCTGTTGCTGCTGCTGCTGCAGCAGCGGAGAGGCACCTCCTTGCGGCAACTATAACAATTGCAGCAACTGCTCCTGCTGCAGCAGAAGCAGCACAAGCAGCAGATGCTGCTGCTGCATGCAACAAGAAGACTCAGGTGGACACCTCTATGGGTGCCATACCTTAGTCAACACCCATGCGGCTTGTCTTGCTGCTGTTGCTGCTCCTTCCCTTGCTGCTGTTGCTGCTCCCGTTGCTGCTGCTGTTGCCGTTGCTGCTGCTGTTGCTGCTGCTGCTGCAGGTGTTGCAGCTTGTCCTTGACCCCACACAGATGAGGCGGCAAGGAGCCTAAAGATATGTCCCTGAGGTGTACACGCAGCAGGAGCAGCAGCAGCAGCTCCAGCAGCGAAGGCAG